CTCTCTCTCTCTCTCTCTCTCTCTCTCTCTCTCTCTCTCTCTCTCTCTCTTTTGTCCACTTTCGACTTCCTCGGTAATCTAAAGTTGGCAACCTTGATGAAAATGTCAATGCTGATGTTGGGACTTACCTTCAGTAGCACTTGGTTTTTGTTTTTTTCAGTGTTCAAGAAATCGCCAATCTAGAATTAGAGTCGGTGAATTTTACTCTAATCGCAAGTAACAATCGACTGTTTTCTAAAATATATAATAGAGAAAATTATCAAATTACGTATAAGAGATGTATTATTTAACATTTTACACTTTTGATACTATTTACGCATTTTTCTACAAGTATTTTGAAATTAATAAAAAAATGTGAGGACAACGTTAAATAGTTGATCTCACATGAGTATTTCTATAAATTTTCTTATATAATATATGATATTAAATGCTATGTCGTGAGCCACTTACTTGGCTAGCATAGATGGCCACTTAGTAAATCGTTGAGTAGGGATCCATCCCACCAATCCGGTTTCATAAACAAGTTTTTTCCAAATCAAAAGCAGATGCAATTGATTACTTGATTCGATACTTTTTTTTTTTTAAAAAAAAAGAAAGTTGTAGTTAAATTTTTTTTTTTTTCTTGATAATTGAACCTGAAAGAAGCTCCATACTCATTATAAAAATAAAACTCAAGACGTCACGTTATAAAGCCCTGTAAACTTGACACCAAGCCTTGAGCCCATTCCTAAAAAAACACAGTAGAGGAAGGAGGGCAGAGCCAGAGACAATTTGGATCATGCCCCAGGGGTATTCTTCATCCTAGTTTAAAAGAATAAAAAGGGGAAATCCACCTTTGGCTGTGTACAATTTGGCCACTATTCAAGGTAAAGGAGTTTTTTTTTTTTTGGGTAGATAAGGTAAAGGAGTTAAACTACCATTCTCACACAAAGGATGATATGGTAAAAATCCTGTGCAGTAGTCCATCCAAACTGGCCTCTAAGGTTTCATCGTTAGGGGTATTAGAAAGGTAAGGAAAGGTCAAAAGAGTTTAGTCAGAGTACCCTATTGCCCATCATACTCCTTTTCAAGACCAAAAGAAGAAAACAACTCGTGTCCATTTGGAGGGACCAAATAAACAGGAATAGTGCCCTTTCCTCCTCCTCCATCCATTTACGTACAAAAGACAGTCTAGCTTCGTATATTCCAATTTCCCCGTAAGGCATCAACTTCGAACCATCAAAATAAAGTGCACCTCCAAACCCCGCCGAAAGATGCAGTTTTGGTGCCAAATACCTCTATGATAACCTGAAAATGCATTTCCAACCCTAGTTATTATAAAAGTCAAGGAAATATATACAATGAGAATTTATTTTTCCTACAAGAATGTTATAATCATTATTGACCATCACACCTGAAATCAGGTGGTTGAACATGTTTCATTGATTGGGCACAAATTCCAAAATAAATTTTCTTGAATGCTATCACACACTTCAATCAACTGAATTTTACATCCAATGGTTAAAAATGATTGTGACCTCCTTGTATCAAAAATAAATAGTCTCATAGTCTATAATCCCAAAAATTAAAGCTCCAAATAAAAGCACAAAAAGAGCAATACCCATAAATACTTGAAAATAATGAAAATGGTTGGTGGTCTATTCCGTAAATAAAATTAATATTGCTTGAAAAAGGTAATACCAAAAGAAGCTCCCAAATAAATTAATAGCACCTGAAAATGATGAAGTGGACAAAGAAATAGACAACCTTGCCTCCAGAGTTTCTTGTTCCAAGATAAGGGCCCCTGTTTTTCTAACGTATGGTGAATCCAACTAAAGTCACCTTTAAAAAAGCGTACTCCCTAATTTATATTAAAAAATGGGTAAGGCGCTGTCTTCCCCAATGAATTACCCCAAACAAAAAAAAAAATCTCAACCTTTGGCATCGCTCCACATATCCATGTCTAACATGATATTCTTACTACTAGCATTTGGGAGTGGCTGCATATTGTGTTTTAGTTTTCTCTCATTGTGTCGTGTGCATGAGAGAGAGAGAGAGAGAGAGAGCTCACGACTACAACAACAAAATATGTTCTGCAACTGCAAATTCAGCATAGCAAAGCATTTCATAGATTCAGCCAGTACATGCTTTCTCGCAACTGAGCACCAACAAAAACCCCGCTTCATATTCGGTATGCATTTCTGCATCATCAATGCATTGCATTTTATAAATTACCAAAACCATCCTGCACAAATCGTGCTTACCCCTCTCAACCATCGATCCTGGGACCATGCTTAGAAGATGGCAAAATCACACTCTCGCATGCCTCTGCAACACAGAGCCTCTAGACAACCACCTTACAGCTCGGGCTTGACATTTTCTTTTGACCTATTCCATGCAACATTAAATCCATTATCATCGCAATACTAGACAAAATTCAACTTCATTGGAAGGTGACAAGAGAGAGAGAGAGAGAGAGAGAGAGAGAGAGAGGAGGGAGGGGGGGAGGGGGGAGGAGAGTATTAGTTAGTTAACTAACCTACACTAACGTACGACTAGTTAGTTACGTACCGTACCCCTACCCTAACGTACTACTACTTAACGTAAGTTAACGTTAACGT